TGCTCCCCCACAGCCTCCATTGCCCGACCCCCTGCACTGCTTCCTTTGTCAGAGGCAGCAGTGTGGGGATGAGGGTAGTGACTCTTGCATGTCCACCCCTGCCTTTGTAGGAGGCAACAGGGGGTGGGGAGACGGCATGGGCGGAGAGCTAGTTTAAAAGCAGACTCCTCACACGTATTGGCTCCCGCTTGCTCCCCTCACTCTCCGCACTGCTGCCTCTGTTTCAGCAGTGCTCCCCACCCTCTGCTGCCTCCAATCCAGCATGTAATTGACAGGATTAACCAATAAGCCTAGGTATTACATGTTGACATCCCTAGAGAAGATATGATTGCTTTCTGTAAATACACAAAGGGCTTGGGGGTAAACACCAAGGAGGGAGAAAAGCTACTTAAAAGCTCAGCGTTAACGCAAAAAAAATGGGTAGAAACTGATCATTTACAAATGTAAGCTGGAAATTAGAAGATGGTGTCGAATGATCGAAAGAATGAGGTTCTAGAACAGCTTTCCAGTAGGACGAGTGTGTGTGTGTGTGTGGGGGGGGGGGCAAATAACCTAGCTAATTCTGGGGCAGACCTTCATACATTTATGAATAGGATTATATGATAGCAGGGGAGTGACCTTGATGACCCAGAAGTCCTGTCCACTTTTATGTCTTATGTTCCTATGTTTAGTTTAATTATTAAAATAATACTTAATCCTGAATTAGTAAACGTACATTTATAAATATTTATCGATGTCCATAAGCTGAGTACTTTATCAGTGAAAAGGATAGTACAAATTGAGAGATGTATCAGAACCCTGCTTTTAAAAAGCTTATTTATATGAGACCTCAGTACTGCTTTGTCTCCGTTACTGTATCACTGCCGAGAAATGGAAATTGATCAATGGCTTCTGTGTTTGTGTTTGAGCAGAGTGTGAGTTAGCAAAATTCTAACAAATGAGTGTAGTAACTCCTTGCTTAACATTATAGTTATGTTCCTGAAAATACTACTTTAAGTGAACTGATGTTAAGCAAATCCAGTTTCTTCATATGCATTAATATTAATGGGGCGGGAGAGTTAGGTTCCAGGGAAATTTTTTTCAACAGACAAAAAGCAGTATAACCAAATGCAGTATAAGCTTTAAAAATTGTAAACAATATAGTACTGTACATAGCAATGATGGTTGTGAAATTGGTTTGGGTGGTGAAATTAGACTGTAGTATATTTCCCAGGGAATATAATCATGCTACTAAACTGAACATGATGTTGAATCCACACAATCCTGCGGGAGTGCATCACTTTCTCCTCCAGATGGTGCATACATGGCTGAACAGTGCCAGTGAGTATATGTGAGAGATGCACACGTGTTCTGAGTGTGTGTGCGTGCATGTTCGAGAGAGAGAGACCGAGAGAGAGAGAGAGAGATCAACCTGCATGTCCCCTTAAGTACACTGACTCCACTTCTGAACTGCAGCTGCCCAGCTGAATACCTCACAGGGAACTTAGGGGACCTGATGGGGGACTGTCAGCCCACCCTGGTTCCAAACCCCAAGAAAGACCGGTTGCTTTTCCAAAAATCCTGTAAGTAATGGACAAAGCAGGCAGCCAGACAACCTTAGAAAGGAGCATTGCACAACTTTAAATAATCATGTTCTCTAATAGATAACCTAGTCTTGGTTAACATTAATACATTGCTTAAGTGAAGAGTTACTGTAATTGTCAAATAAGTTAAACATTTGAGAATAATGTTAACAATTCAGTGAGAGCTAGCAGGAATTGCAGTACTCAAATCTGGATGCAAAATTGACAATCAGTTACAGGAGCTGGGCAAAGAGGGTTGGTAAGCATATGTTCTAAATGTAGTAGCCCAGCGTCTGTGAGTCTGTAACGCCGAAATGCTGGCTGTTCCCTCTGGGTGGCCCGTGCTGCATGGGGGCTTGCACCAAATGGCCACTTGCTCCTCTTGCACCCCTGTAGCGGCATGGCTGAGCGGCGCAGAAGTCAGCCGAGTGCCACGGTGGGAGGGGAAGCGGGGCGGGGCGGTGACGTACATGGCCAGGAGGTCCACAGTTCCCCCAGTGAGAGGCAGGGGACGTGCGGTGTGACAGCAGCTCCAGGCCCCGCCCCCTGGCCGTGAACATCATCACCCCGCCCCCCCTTTGCCTCCCGCCATGGCGCTCGGCTGACTTCTGCGCCGCTCAGCCAGGCCACCGCGTGGGAGCAACCAGCGCAAGCGACCGTTTGGGCTCCACGCCCCCCATGCAGCACGGGAAGTGCGTAGCCCAAATGGCCATTTGGGCTCTGCGGTACCCCGAGTGAGATGCTGGAGGAGGAGGAGAAGTGGAGAGAGAGGCAGGGGGCAAGCAGGAGGAGGAGGAGAGAGAGAGAGATGGAGTGAGAGACTGGAGGCTCAGGAGAGAAGACCGATGTGGAGGAGAGACCTGAAAATCCCGTCTTATGATGGACTACTTGGCTAGTGTTCTAATAATACACAATAATTGTGTTTGTACACCTTTCATCTCAAGAACCTATCATGATTTGAATACACCTAATTACACTTCACAACACCCCTGGCGGTAAATAAAATACCGGTCTGGGTCTGTGTATCCAAAAGAAGGGGGATCTAATTTAATATAAAAGAGCTTCCTCAGAAAATTCAGTTATTCCTTTTCAAGGTGTGTGTCAACTGTTTATTGTAAACCTCTATAATATTAAAAACCTAGTTTGCCACAGATTCTCAATTTTTTTTCCTGGGCATGATCTCAGGAACTTGATAAGAATTATCAGGAGTTATAATGACATGGATAAAATAGAACAAAATGCATTTTCCATAATCTTTAGTGTAAGAGGCACATCCCAACATGCAATGGTGGGTCAAAGTGTGTGTGTGTGTGTGTGTGTGTGTGTGTGTGTGTGTGTGGTGTAAATTCAATGATTTGTTATACATCTGGACATGTGCAACCAGACACTAAAATAAAATCTTCAGTGATAACAATAAACAGCCCTACTCACTGTACTGATGAAGTTATTAATAATTAAACAAAGAAGTAATGATCTGTACTCCTGGAGATACTCATGAACATATAATATGACTTTTATCACTATTCATGGGCTTACTTTTTTCAGTGTGCTACCCAATATGTTTATGCTCTTTTAGAAATGCTCTATGAAAAAAGTCAATTGCTCCAGGGACTAAAACTCAGCTCTAAACACAGAGCCTGTGTCTAGATTACATCCCTCTTTCAACAGAGGGATGTAAATTAGGCACATCAAAAGCGCAAATGAAGCGGGGATTTGAATTTCCCACGCTTCATTTGCATAATTGCATCATGGCACTTTTTCGAAAAAGCGCCATTTTGAAAGTAAAACCGTGGTCTAAATGCGGTTCTTCGAAAATGGAAAGCTTTTTTGAAAGATCCGGTAAACCTCGGGTTTTCGAAAGAACTGCGTCTAGACCGTGGTTTTACTTTTGAAATGGCAATTTTTGGAAAAAGCGCTGTGATGTGATTATGCAAACGAAGCGTGGGAAATTCAAATCCCTGCTTCATTTGCACTTTCGAAGTGCCTAATTTACATCCCTCTGTTGAAAGAGGGTTGTAATTTAGCTGTACCCAGATAGTCTGAATAAACTGCCAACGCTGAGGCCAATCCATTTCATATTCTAAAGAAGTTAGTTTTGAGACAGTTACCAAACTCTGCACTGCTGTCCTGCATATCCATGTAAACTAGCTAGACTATTTTCTTTCTGAACTGAACCATTGTATTTAATTCCAGGTATGAGAAAATGATTAGTGGAATGTACCTGGGAGAAATCGTTCGCAATATTTTGATTGACTTCACTAAAAGAGGATTCCTATTTAGAGGTCAAATTTCAGAGACACTGAAGACCAGAGGTATCTTTGAAACCAAGTTTCTTTCACAGATTGAAAGGTAAGATTGATGCAAGGTAGAATTACTCCAGTTGAAATAGTGCATTTCTAATTTAATACTGGTGCTTTAAGGAGGTCTTTGTAGCGGGATCTTCATTCAGAAGTGATGAGTATCAGCAGATCTTTATTTTTTTCTAGAATTAAGATGTGATGTATCCTCATTAATTAAATCTGAGTAACTGCTTGGCATTCAATTCTTCCTGAAGCTCAAACTGATTTGTAAACTGTATGGTCCTACTTGCAAACATTCACGTATATATATTTAATTCTGCTTGTGTAGCCTTATTCATTCACTGTCCCATCTTAAGGAAAACTAATCCAGAGGCACATATTTGCACTATCAAGGCCTACACTGAGTTGCTCTCAGATTCTTTGATGTCAAAACTAATACACATGCTAACTGTTAAATGGTGCACATGTTGTGGTCCTGGATAGACTTACATATTTGACCTGTCTCTCTTGTAGGGTAGATGTTGCTGTTTTCATTTTCATACTCCTATGAAATTAATTGCCTCAGTCCACCGAATTTTAAACTGTCTGACTAGCCATTATAGCATGTTTATATCTAATCATGTGTTTGGTTTCTTTTTGATTTTCTGAAAGTAAGATCTTCTAGCAGTTTAGGAATTCTAACATTTATAAAATGCAACATTTTCCTTTTTAGTGTCATACAGTAGTTTTACTTGTCCAACTTAATTTGCAGTTTATAATCTGGAAGGGAAAAAAAGATTCATGCCAGATTAGCAAAACTGTTTATAGAGCACAATAATGAAATGGGAAGTTCATCCATAGGAAACAAAAATTATTTTGTGCTGAAATACTTCTGTAAATACGAGAGAAAATATTTTGTTTTTATCTGCCCCAGAGGCAAAGGTGCAAGAATTCTTTAGAACAGGGGTCGGCAACCCTTAGCACGCATGCCACAAGTGGCACGCAAGTCAGTTTCCCATGGCATGCAGGGCAGGAGCTCAGCCCAGCCCCTCTGCCCTCTGTGCAGCGGGGAGCTCGTGCTATGGCTTCAGCCTCAGCAGTGCAGCTGCAAGCTGGAGCAACAGCTCTGGCTTCCTGCTGGGGCAGCGGGCAGGAGAGGCGTGTGTGTGTGTGTGTGTGTCCTGAGAGCTGCCCCTGCCAGACCTGGGTGTGCATCTCCTGGGAGCTAAGGGGGTTAACCTCCCTCTCCTGGCTACAGGCTCTGCAGAGCCAGGGCTGGGCAACCGGTCACATGTAGCGTGCTGGCACCCGGGCTTCACCGTGCTACTCCGCAAGGGCTGTGTGCAGGGGCAGGGAGCCTGTTCCCCAGTGCCCTGCTGTGCATGGCCAGGCTGGAGCCATCCCTGGGCTGCTCCGGGCTCTACCCACCCCAGCTCCGGAGCTGCAGGCAAAGGGCTGGGCAGGGCAAGCCAGGGCTGGGCAACCGGTCACATGTAGCGTGCTGGCACCCGGGCTTCACCGTGCTACTCCGCAAGGGCTGTGTGCAGGGGCAGGGAGCCTGTTCCCCAGTGCCCTGCTGTGCATGGCCAGGCTGGAGCCATCCCTGGGCTGCTCCGGGCTCTACCCACCCCAGCTCCGGAGCTGCAGGCAAAGGGCTGGGCAGGGCAGGGAAGAGATCCTTTCCCTTCTTTCCCTCCCCCTCCCCCCCCCACCTCTCC